CTATTCAAATATCGTCGCCTCGATGGAAAATTGCCGGAAGCGTCATTTTGACAATTTGTGGTTTTTGGATATCTTCTTTAGTTTCCGACTAATTGACTAAAATTTTTTCGGTTATTTGGTACAAATTGCGTTAGTATTGCTGTCGTACTAAACTAATCAAGATCTTTTAAATAGAGTTATCTGTTCTTCTTTAGTTTCCGACATATTCAGCTTTATCATGAGTTTCATTTTCTAGAACCGGGTCACTTTTCGTCTGCGTGTGTTCACTACAGGTGGATGAAAAAATTGTTGGCGAAATTTTGTTCGGGCGAAACTCACGATTAGGCTGATTAGTAAAAAGTATGGTTAATTTATAAAAATTGTTATCACATTTTGGCGTATATCACTAAAACTGACTGCAAATTTTTTGACAAATGTCGTATACGACAAAATTTTATTAAACTCATAAATGGTTGACACTAAACTAAAAAAAACAAGATAATTTAAGAATTTCATGAACTAGTACATAGCATTCTCCGACACTTTGGAGAAAATCTGTAGTCGTGTTTCTGAGAAATTGCACTCCAAACTTCAATCGAGAGTTACCGAAAGTAACTTGTGACAATCTTTTATCCAGGGATCTACATAAATTATAATTGTCATTATTTTCGCAGTTGGAGTATATGCCAGACGAGTAACAGGTATATACATACAAGGATACCTAAATTAGCGCGTTGAACTTGTATATTTATCTCTCTCCAACGCATTAATTCTATATTCATAGGTACCAACGCCTGACAAAGTTATGTCTAAATTTAATAATGGCTCTATGACAAAATATTCATGGAATGTATTCGTAGATTTTTATTTACTTCATTTCATACATTAGCATTGATGTTTTGTTTTTCATACATTAGTATTGATGTTTTTTACTAAATACCAGGAATAAATATTTAATAAAAAACTATTTCATTTAAGCTTAACCAACTTTTAGTTGCTCGGAGCTAATTTTGGAACGCTTCACGAAATATTTTCATAGACAGTAAATGCAACCCTGCGTGCATCATTAGCGAGCTGAAAAACCAAACAAATAAAAAAATTCCATCTGAACCAATATTCCCAAAAATTATAAAGCAAAACAAAAACCATTTTTCCCAATTTATGCACTGTTATTTTTATTATTGCAATACAATTTCGCAGCTCTTCAAACATTTTCCACATTGTGCTTTTAGGGCTAGTAGTTTCCGACCCCATTTGCTCGTTTTTTTTTCAATTCCGAATTTAGACTAGGCTTCATGGGAACTTACTGTGGGTGCAAACAGACCACATTTTGTAAACTGAATTGTGATATTTATTTTTATTTTATAATGAAAAATGAATTTAATGTGAAATTTTTTAAGTTTACTAGATGTAAGACAACTTTTAATTTTCTTTATATATTGCATGCTTTAGTTTTAATTGTTTAAGTTAAGTTGTAAAGGTGAAAATAGGCCTCCTGGGCAACCGAGCACATTAAAAAAAATCGGTAACGCGCGTAAAAGCATACCTCACAAGTGGTGTGGAAAATGCAAGAACAAATATAAATGGAATAATTTTCGAAATTATGAAATGGTTATTGGTATTTTCCATCTCAGAGGGGGTGATTAATTTGAACGTTATTTAAGCTGCCTTTACACGGTCGATTTTTGTCGTTTAACCAAAATCTACCCGTGTAAATTGCAATTCAACCGTAAAATGTAAGCGTTTTGGCTAGTCGATATCTTAAGTAAATTTTCCAGTCGACAGAAATCGACCCGTGAAAAGGCAACTTCAGGAATTTTTTAATTTTCTTTTTTTTTTTTTGCTTGACCGTCTTTTGAAGATGTGCCAAATTATATTGTCGCCTTAAATACAAAACAACAATTTCTTGTGCAGCAATTTGTTGATCTTATCCTCACGGCTACCGAAATCACCAACCTCAACGTAGTGATTAGCCTTCTTGCGCCAGCTTCGGGTTGATGTGTTGAGCTTGAATAGCAACAGGAAGTTGGGGGCTTTCTTGAAGTGAAGTGAATCAACGCGCTTCGCGAAATTTGTGTTCGATCACAAAGCAGAGATTGGGACACGCTTGACCATTCCACGTTCACAAACTGATTTAAGATTTGGATAACCCCATATAGGGGTTCGGCATACGTAGCATATTAATGGTTGCCTTGCTCAATTTGATGAACACACCGTTTTAATGTGGCGAAGACAGAACTGTAAAACTACGCACTTTTTGTGCAACTTTGTTGATACCGCGGATGCGGATCACAAAAGCCAATTTGGATTTTTCAGGCCCGTCGAATTGGCCGCATTTCTTTGCCACACAGCGTTACTCCATCTCACGGCGTCCATCACGGAGTTTTCTTGTTTGATATTTCTCAGCAAACACCAAGTTTTCACATTAACGGAGTGCAATCACAGCAGAGCGCTTTAGTTTACGTTTGATCAGGGTAGCAATTTGCTGACCTGCTCTTGCTGAACTGCAGCTTCGGCTCGGGGACAGGAGGCAGCTTCCTGGAAGGTTGTCTGCCCTTTGCTTGCGGTTTCTTACCGGCCCATGATGGCAGTCATCTTGTTACTTAGCACGTTGAAAAGGCGAAAAAAAGTTCGCCAAATGTTTGGAGCACATCGTAAATGAGCCACTCGATTTATAACATTTCTATAAACAATTTAATTAAATACTTTTTATACATAGATATGCTGCAACCATGCACTTACTTTCCCAAATTCCATCCTGTTTATCGGCATAATTTTCCAAATATGCCAGCTACTTCATTACTAATTACTAAATTTTCCAACTGCGCCTTCTTTGTTGGCTCGACATATCCTAAAAAGACAAATTTACATTAAACAATAGAAATCGCAAAAATTAGCAAATAAAATACTTGCTTTGTTTTGTTTTGTTGTCAAATTTCTGAGAAATGTGAATTCACCACGATGCGATACAGAAAGAACAAGGACCAGGGATGTAATTTTAAGTAAATCTATTATTCAGTGGCAAGGCGCAGAGCGTTCGGGGCAGCAATATTAATTTGTATCAAATATAACATTAAACGGTGGTTCTTATACATTTTTTGATATTATTAACCAGAGTACATACATTATATGGTATTTCTTTCAAAATTAATGTACTATATGAACTTTTTTTTCAAATATTTCTTAAGTTTCTTTCATGAGTGCTGAAAAGCAACCATGCGTGTAAGAAATTGTGTGCTACCTAAAATTTCACCTCTGGAAACTTTATCCCCATAAAGGACTTCACCACAGTTTTTTTACTGGATATACTGAGATTCTAATTCTCAAATAACAATCATACAAATGTATCGTATGTAAAAAATATCGATAACTCTCTTCGATGTTAAAGCCTGCATGCACGCTACCCATTACCCATGATGCAATAATACAAGGTGGTATCAGTTGTGAAAGCTCGAAATTTTGCTTTTTTATAGTATATTCGCAATGAAATGAAATAAAATAAGATATAATACCTTTTTGAGAAAACAAAATGTGTATACTGAGAAAAATTTCAGCTATATTATTAGGCAAAGAATTGAAGAAAAGCAAAAACTCCATATAAAATGACGTACAAGAAATGGCTAAGAAATTTTCTTGAGTCAAATTTCCTTACGGCAGTACGCTGTTCTTAAGAAATTTACTACGCTTTCCACTACGGTTTTCTAAAGTTTTGTGTGAAAAAAGAGCACAAGGCAACCCAGGTTTGCAACAGAAATATATGCCCGTTCCATTATTTCTTGAGAAAAGAGTGAGGCAACAGGCTGTGAGGTATCAAAAATGTCAAAATTCCTTGGACACACACGAAATAATGACAATTTTTTCTTGACCGTTTTCTTGAGAGCTGCATACAGGGCTTAAGAAACGCTTTCCAGCAGAAATTAGTGATAATTTGTGATAATTATTTTAAGAAACAACCTTTTTGAATACTCTTCGAGGTAAATTCTGATCAGGGTTGATAATGAGAAGTACGAATGTTCGATGAATTGATTTCATTCATTGCATGTAAAAGCTATATGGCGATATATAGGGCTGAACAATATCGATATCGGAAAAATCGATGTTGAAAATCCTACTCCCAATTGAATAGAATGTTAGACCTGCTTGACAACTCACCTAATTGTGTTATTTCCATCTTGTATATTTACTGAGGATTAAAATGGCATGCCGGTCGACTCAAGCGATTTGTCAAACTTAAGAGCTAAATAAATCACACAAGCTGCTGATTAAACCTAATTTAGTATTTTTCCATACACTTTTATGTAGATGAAAAATAAATTTCAACTTAAATATCGATATTGCGGGTAAAGTATCGATGTCTTCGGTATATCCATCTTGGAATATCGATTCAAAAAATCGATTATCGCGCCATGAAATATCGATATTCAGAAAAATCGATACGATATCGAACATTCCTAATGAGAAGGATCATTCATTTTGCTGATTCAGAGTTGCACACAAAATTACTATGGAATGAAAAGGAGCAAACAACAAAGTGTGATCCAAACCCAGAGATCTACCACATTTTTTTGAAATCTACTAAATTTTTTTCCAGATTCCACACAATTTTTTTAGATTCCGATCACTGATTCCAGTGCTATTTGAACTTGATCATGTGGTTCTTGGTTTTTTTGGGTTCTGTTAATAATTCTATTTTCAGAATGTTTAACTTTTAGGTGTCTCGTCCTTAAGTTATTTGTTTTTGTTATTTATGGCCATATAACAATTATATTCAACAATATATCTTGCTCTTTATTATACTAAAATTCGTTTTTTTTTGTAGATTATAATTAAAATGTTGCAATTTAGGTGAAACCTTGCAGAATTTTTTTAATTTTCGTACAAAGTTTGATCCAGAACCAGAGATCTACACATTTTTTGAATTCTACACATTTTTTTGAAATCTAGCACATTTTTTTCCAGATTCTACCACACAAAAATTTTAGAGTCCGATCACTGATTGTGGTTCATTCTGTGTGGTGAGAAATAAAATTTTATACAAAATTCATTCGGTGTAAACGCTTTGGCATATTGTTATAATTCCAAGTGAGAAAATTGCGAATTTAAATCATATATTAAGTATATTTGTTGCCACTTTGGCGTGGGAAACGCTTTAGAAAATGTTGACGTCAAGAAACCGAACTAGAAACAAACATTGTAATAAGGAAGTGAATCTACCTGAGGAGGACCGTTTACAATTACAGCAACGTATATCAGATTTTTTAGCCGGCTCCGATGTTGAGTTGGTAATTCCGGGATTGTCCAATGCCCAGCGCAAGTTTTTACACAAATACATTGCTAGACTTGGACTATTATCACGGAGTTATGGCTCGAAAGCAAGCCGGGTGCTTCATATTACACATCGCAAACGTTTGACATCATTAGGATTTCTACATAAATTAGAATTGTCGTCGGTTAGTCGTTCTTTATTAGAGAAATCGTTACCATTTCTTGAAACACATACAAGTGAAACAAATCATATTCAACATCAGCAAAGCTCACGCCAGCAAATCGCAAAAAGGAATCGCATTCGGAGTGAGGCATTGTTACTTGGGCTTGGACCGCGTCTTGTGCCACCACGTGCCCATCGCATAAGTTCGGAACTCTATCGAGATAAACAAGAACTTCCTATATACTTGTATCAAGAAGAAATACATAATATGTTGAAACAACATTCTGTAAGAAAAATATTATAACTATGAAATTTGAATACCTTTAGACTTATTTTTTCAGATCTTTATAATCAGTGGCGAAACTGGTTCAGGCAAAACCACACAAGTACCCCAATATATTTTAAATGATAGTATGCGCAAAAACCGGGCTTGTCGCATAGTAGTATCACAGCCTAGAAGAGTAGCTGCGGTTTCTGTTGCCCATAGAGTTGCGGAGGAGCGTGGAGAACAAATCGGTAATACTGTGGGTTATCAAATACGATTGGAAAGTACGTAAGGTTTAATAAGAATATAAAACAATTATATGATTTAATTGAAGATTAATTTCAAGGTCGTGTTCAAAAAACTACCAACTTAATATATACTACCAGCGGTTGTCTCTTGCGCTCGATAATGGCTGACGCGAAAGATTTCTTTCGCAAAATAACTCATTTAATAATAGACGAAATTCATGAACGAGATAAGTACACCGATTTTACACTTATTACCATTAAAGAACATTTAAAACGAGATAAAGATCTCAAAGTAATTCTCATGTCTGCGACAATGGATATCAGTTTACTCTCGAAATACTTCAATGATTGTCCAGTTGTAAATGTGCCTGGACAAGGGTTTAATGTAAAAATATTTCATTTGGAAGACATACTTTATCGCACAGGATATCGAACGGCGCTGATGGAGAAATATTTGCGTTCGATGAGTGAAACGAATGCAGCACACTGTGCAAAAATGTATATAGACGGTGAAAAACCAAGTTCTTATTCGAAGGAAAATCCTGTTATATTGAGTGATGTATTTTTGCAACAAGGGTTAGATGCCATTATAGATCAATGTTGCTTGGACAATTTCCGATCTGAGGATGAATTACTTGCCTTATTTGACCAAATACAGTATTTCATTGAAAGTGAGGGAATGCCTGTGGATGCCGCACACTCCCAAACAGGTGCATTCTTATGCGTACTTAAACCTAAAAAAATATACTTTTTACATATTGATTCTAATTTAGGTATTACTCCGCTTATGGCAGCTTGTAAATGCAACTATTCAAAATATGTCGAGCTATTTTTATTTCATCAGGCCAGTGCCCGCCTTCGTGATGCGCGCGGTTTTACTGCGCTTGATTATGCTAAAATGCATTCGGATAACACTTGCATCAAAATTTTACAAAACTCGGATGTTGGTTATAAGGAGCAGTTTCAATTAAGCAAAGAAGTAGAAGATAAGCAGCGAATTTTATTTGCTTATCAGCAACAGTTCAACGACGAAAATGAAGTCGATCACGATCTCATTTTATCATTGTTGGAAGGTCTCTACCGGAGTCCTCATCCTGGTGCTATAATGGTCTTTTTACCGGGATACAATGATATAGTGCAGCAAAGAGATCTCATTCAAAGTACTCTTCCCGCCAATACATATCGAATTTGTATTCTGCATGGACAAATGGATTCACACGATCAATTTGAGGCTCTACAAAGACATACAGTGCGAAAGATAATACTTTCTACAAATATTGGTCAGACGTCAATAACAATACCCGATTTGGCTTACATCATCGATTCAGGGAAGGTTAAAATGAAAACTCATGACTCAATCACGGAATCATCACAACTGCAATCGGTGTGGATATCAAAAGCCGATGCAAACCAACGATCTGGGCGTGCTGGTCGAACACAGAATGGTGTGTGCTATCGTCTGTATTCCACGGCAACGTATGAGTATATGCCGAAGTTCTGCATTCCTGAATTTATGCGTATACCCCTAACCGAAATTTGTTTGTATGCTAAGACGCTGGACCGTCAAAGCGACGTTGCAACTTATTTATCACGCGCGCTAAACCCTCCCTCAAGTGTGAGTGTGCAAAATGCTGTTAGAAAACTGCAAATGCTCGAAGTTTTTAACGACGATGAAAGTGTAACAGAATTAGGTCGCCATTTGGTAGAGATTCCTTTGGATGTACAACTGGGCAAGTGTCTGCTATATGGAATTTTTTTTAAATGCTTCGACTCCATATTGACCATCGTTGCTTATCATTCGGTAAAAGATCCCTTCATTTTACCAACAGATCGCGCGGCCCAAGGTCATGCTTCTTTCCAACGAAAATCATTTGCTGGAAAAACATTTAGTGATCAGCTCGGAATACTTTCGTTGTATAAATCTTATTGCTCAGTACGTAACAATAGGAAACGAGTCCGCGAGTTCTGTAGTAAATTCTATTTGTCGCAATCAGCTATGGAAATGTTTTTTGCAACACGGCGTCAAATATCTGATCTAACATCCCAAAAATTTCGGCTGGGACAACAGGCTTCTCTTTTCAATGAAGATTGGAATATGGTACGATATTGTTTGGTGGCCGGTTTTTATCCAAATGTGGCGGTTATTGATCGCCAACAGGGCTCGCTTATATCGGGAGCAGAGAAACAATTAATACTACAGCGAACATCAGCATTGAATCCACCAGGCATGAAAAATTTAAAAGAATTTATTGACGAACTTCCTCACGACTGGTTGGTGTTTTTTGAGAAATCACGTGTGGCTAGTAAATGTTCAATAAATATGAATACGGTAGTTCCGCCAGTGGTAATTGCACTTCAGTGCGGGCGAGATTGTGTGTTGGATGAAGATACTTTGGATGAGTCTGAAATTTCAGATAACGAAGAATACATCTCTGAATTTCCAAAAGTTGAATCGGGAGAAAAACTAGATCTGGTGGAAAAGGTCGAAGCGATCTCCCTATCAAGATCAACTGATAGCAATAGTCGAAAAGCTATAATGTCTGTAGACAATTGGATCAAATTTGAATTACCTATTGATGACGCTAATATGCTTTTGCAACTGCGAAACCTAATAAAATCCCAATTCGAAATATTTTTGCACAGTGGGAATTTAACACAAACATCGACGTCAGTTTATCATGTACAAAAACTCCTCTATAGTTTAGAAAATGTTTTTCCAACATAAGTAATATATACAAATTTTGGCAGGCGGTTTTGACATCACAATTATTTGATATCAAGTTCCACTGCTGGACATGTGTGTAACGAATATTCAAAATTGTTAGCATGTTAGGTATATTGTAAAATGACATTTTAACTATATTGCCTTTTTGTTTCATATAACATATCTTAGGTACACATACATACATATTTTATTAAATGGTTCGGAAAGTAGATACTTTTAAATTTATTTCATATTTTTTTTCTTTATATGTCATTAATAAGTGGCCTTTAGTTGTATGGATAAAACTAAACGTGTCCAAATTCTCGGTCTCATCGCCCCGAAATATGTGAAGAGACTAAAAACAACGAAATACAAAGTTATGGAAGAATTGGGAATGATGTAGAAGGGGCTCACGGCCACTGAAATTCTCAATAATTAGGCTTTTAAGATGACGACCTACAAATAACTTATTATGAACCAAAGTTGGAAAGTTTAAATCATTTCTAAAATCTTTAGATTATTAGTTAAGTAAAATGACTAAAATCAGAAAATCGCCCAACTAATAAAGTTGCCACCACTACTGGCCAATACCACGATTATACATAAGTATCTCTTCAGTGGAAAGATTTTTTACACAACAAAATACATGAAAATTTTTGGTATTTGTACTGCTGCTATCACTTTATATTAATTCGACTTGATTTTTATCTTTGATCTCTATTTTTGGGGAATTTTGTTAAAATTTGTTGAATTTTTATAATTTTTGTACAAACTTTGAAATATGGATTTATATAGTGTGTGTTGTTGTTGTTGTTGTAGCAGCAGTACTCAACCCCCCGGGGTTTCGTCAAGGGTCGTCTTCGTCCTCTGACTCGACAAGCCTGAGGCCGAGAAAGCGGACAGCGTCTATAGGCGCGGTCCATAGAGCTTCTGGTGTCAGGGTCGTGGAGTTAGAGGCGCATGCGAAGAGGTGTTGGGTGTTGTGTGAACCTTGCCCGCATGCAGGGCATGTGTCTGCCACTTCTGGGTTCAGCCGGGAGAGATAGCTGTTTAATCTGTGGCACCACCCAGAACGGAGTTGTGCTAGGGTGCACCTGGTCTCTCTAGGCAGTTCGGCTACGTCGATGTTGATGGGTGGCGGTCGACCACCTAGAACGATGTTGTCGTTTCTGGTGCTAAGATTCGACCTCACTGCATCGGTGTGTAGGTGGTTAAGCGCCGCTCTGTATTTCCCTGCGTCGAATGGGTGGTCTACGCACGGCTCGACGTCGGATTTCCAGTCGTGCAGGTGACGTCTGACATGTCGGGGACGCGGTTCATTTCGAAGCAGGGCGTTATTGGGGTGATTTCCACGGTAACATCCCATGAGGAACTGCTTCGATAGCAACGTGTTGTGCTCTTTCACCGCCAGCATCTGGCTTTCTTTGTGGAGCTGATGCTCGGACAACATGAGATGGCAGCCTGTAGCCGTGCGTAGAGCTGCATTCTGGCAAGTTTGTAAGTTTTTCCACTGCGTATCGCTGGTACCCGCCGTCCACACTGGCGCTGCGTAGTTTGCCACCGACCGGCCGATTGCTTTATACGGGGTGAGTAGGGTTTCTTTGTCGGCTCCCCAAGTGCTGCCGGCTAGTGACTTGAGGACTTTGTTCCTAGCTCGCATCCTTTCGCAGGTGGCTGAGGCGTGCGCAGAAAAGGAGAATAGGCTGTCGAACGTGACTCCCAGGATTTTTGGGTGGTTGACCGTCGGTATTTTGTTGCCATCGACGTAAACGTCCAGCTCTAGCCTAACTTCCTTTGTCCAGGTGGTGAACAGTGTGGCGGTGGATTTCGCGGCGGAGATGGTGAGGCTCCTGGCAGTGAAGAAATTTGGAAGGTCGGTGAGATAGTCGCTGATTTTCCAGCATAGGCTGTCAATATTGGGGCCCGTCGCCATAATCGTGCAATCATCGGCAGTAGCTCGCCAAGTTAACTCCTGCTGGCGGCGGAGGGAGTTTCGCCATGTAGAGGTTGAACAGTGTCGGGGCGAGTACGCCGCCTTGGGGGACCCCCTGTTTAATCCTACGCGGCTTGGACTTGGCGTTTCGGAATTCGACCGATGATTGGCGTCCACACAGATAGCTGGTTATCCACCGCTTCGTCCGATCCGGAAGCGACAAGTCCAGGACGTCTTGGCAAAGGGTCGCGTGGTTTACCGTGTCGAAGGCCTTCGACAGGTCCTATCACAGGGTCGACGTTGGTTCAGACCCTCGCTTATCTGTGTGGTGATGGCGTTTAATGCAGTGATTGAAAGCTGCAGTGATGTACTCGACTCCCACTGGTCCTTTTTTTTTTCAGCATCTGCATCGAGATTCCGTCGGGGCCTAACGCCTTGGATGCTTTGGCGTTCTTTACAGCTGCCTGCGTCTCTTCTGGTGTAAAGCACGTTGGTGTGTCTCGGGGGCGGAGTTTGTGTGCTTTACGTAGCACACTGCGGCGGGCTTTGTCTCTCTCCGGGTGTGCAATAAACTGCCGGCTGAAAAAGCGCGCGCACGTCCGGGGGTCCGACGTGGTGATATCGCCGAATGTAAGGGCAACGTTGTCCTTGCGTTTCGCCGGATGGGAGAGAGATTTTACTGTCGTCCACAGTTTGCTAGCTCCGCTGGAGAGATTGCAGGTCTTGAGGTGCTCATTCCACGTTTTCCGCTTGTGTTCGTTAACCAGTCTGTTAATGTCCTTGTTGAGATCCCTGATACGGGGATCACCAGGATTAGACTGGCGGATTCGATCCCGCTCGTCTGCGAGTCCCGCCGCTTCAGCTGGAAAGCCCGGGCGAATTTTGGCAATCCTACCGGCTGGTATGAAGCGGGCGGCTGCTGCGTTGACGATCCGGCGGATGTTGCGCTCAGCTTCGTGCGCGCATGTTGGTGGTGGAAGAGCATTGAATTTGCGGTCTGTGTGTTCCGTAAAACCGTCCCAGTTGGCCGTCTTGGTGTTCATATACGTACGGTCTTCGGATGTAACAAAATCTCTTGGGTGGTCTATAGCGACTACTATGGGCTGGTGGTCTGATGCGAGCGTGAGCACTGGTTGCCAACCAATGCAATTTATCAGACCCCCGCTTGCTATAGTGATATCTGGCGAGCTGTAGCAGTCACCCGCGACCCTGGTGGGGGCATCGTCGTTTACAGTGCAAAACGTTATTTGTTCTGCGATTAGTGTACCCCGCTGGTCGTTGCCCAGGTTGGAGTGCCAGAGTTCGTGGTGCGCGTTAAAATCCCCTAGCACTACCCGGTTTTCGCCTTCAAGTAGCGCACTTATGTTCGGGCGATACCCTGCTGGGCAGCTGGTGGCAGGTGGTATGTACACGTTGACGACTTCCAGCTCAGTATCTCCCGACTTGATTGCCACGCCTTGGTGCTCAATGAGTGTGTCGTTGGCGGCGATTCGGGGGGTAATGAGCCGGTATTGGATCGCGTTGTGCAATATAAAGGCGATGCCGCCTCTGGCGCCGCGAGGGCGGTCTCTTCGGATGACGTTGAACTCATCCTGACTCTGAAGGCTAGAGCCGGAGTGGAGTTTGGTTTCCTGGACCGCCGCGACTGAGATTTTGTTGCGCCTCATGAAGTTGACTATCTCAGCGATCTTGCTTTGTAGTCCGTTGCAATTGAACTGCAATAGTTTGATGGAGTTGGGCCTGGTGATAGTAATTCGCGGGGTGAGGGAGTACTGGCGCGCTGCCTGAACTGCTTGCTGTGCCTGTTGTGTTTGTTGCGGGTGTGGTGGTCCGACCGCTGGTGTTGTCACCGGCGTTGGTGCCGGTGTGGGTGTGACCGTGGGCCGCGGTTGTGGGATTGCCGCTGGCGTTGGCATTGGCACAGATGTAGGTGCAGGCGATTGGGGTTGTGTGGCAGCAGCGCAGCAGGATGCAGTGAAAGCAGCACTCCATTCGCGATGGTGTATGAGACCGGAGTAGCGTTTCAGGTGGCACCCGTTGTTGCATGCGTTGCATCTTACTGATGTGGTGTTTCGCCTTATCAGGTTGTGGCAGACGCTGCAGTACCATCTGCTTTGAGTGGATGTCCGGGGTTGTGTGCTGGGAGTTGGTCCACTGGCTGTTGGTTGGGCGGGCGCTGTTTGTGTGGAATGCTGGGCTTGCTGTGGATTGTTGCAGCACGATGCCGCAAAGTTAGCACTCCACTCCCTATGGTGCCGGAGGCCTGAGCATGCTTTTAGATGACACCAGTTATTGCAGCTGTTGCAACGGACTGAGGTGGATGAGTGGTGTAAGTTTCGGTTGCAGACACTGCATGTCCAGGGTTTTGCTCTATGCCGGCGCGGACCAGTAGTATGCGGAGCAGACTTGCCGGTAGATCATGCTCCCAGTGCGAAAAAATGGATGGTCCTTGGTCGGAGTGGGTGCTCCGAGTCAATCCGGTAACGTAGAACCGACCATCTTGGGATTGTGTGTGTTATATATTGCGCTAGACTTTTATACAAAAACATTAAACATCGAATAAACAAAGTAATATAGCCAAAATTGGTCAAAGTAAAAAGTTTCTATTATTTCTTCCACCACTGTATTATGAGTTGAGCGATTATTCAACCTTGAGTCATTTTCAATTATGCCCCTTACGTCATATGTGGGACACCAAAGATGAACAAATCATATTTTTTCTGTACTTCAGTCGCTGTGAGCCATCTCCAAATATGCGTCAATACGTCCAAAACTTTTTACTTTGTATTTCGTAGTTGTTAGTCCAATCGGATATTTCAAAGGGTGTGATCGAGAATTCGAACGATCCCAAATAAAGGCCTCTCGAATGTGCACACTTACCAACCTTAAGAATGCTACAGAAAACTGATCTTCGTATGTAATGTAAAAGTGAATATCTCACATTTGCTGGATCGATTAAAATAAATGCGTAAAATACAAATACCTTTGCAGTTTTCTTGCATGCAGGCAACTAGGTTATAAGTCTAGAATAAATACCAACCGTTTAGCTATGAAAAAACTAAAAATGTGGGTCGATAGATGCTGATTTCTACGACACCAGTTGGCGCAAGTAAAACATAAAGAATATATAAGACGTTAAAGTTAAATTTTAAATTATTGTATAATAATTATATCTTATAAATTACATAAGCGTCTAAAAATGTATGTGTTTTTAATATTTTCCACAAGCGAAAAATTCAAAAGTCGAAACTTTTGCACACAATGCTAGAAAAATGTATATGGGTGTTTCCAGCGGAGAAAAAATAAAATTCATATACATACATATCTAATTTATTTTTGGGCCAATTTGGCTTATTTTTATTATATACTACATAGCCGGTCTCGGATGCGCGAGGCTTCGCCACATACATAAGTACATACATTTACGCATTTGGAGAAAGCAGGTGGCAACCCTATTAAAAAAAAAATAAAGCCTTGTTGCACACCTAAGGCCAAGCTCTTTCATTTGACATCTTATTTTTTTAATGCGACGAACGGTGTTTAGACAGGCGGAAACTCTAAATATTAAGAAAAAAATAAATAAATAAAACTTTATTGCACATCTGATATTATTAATAAAAAATGCCTTCCCGTATTATTAATACATATAAAAGGTAGTCATTTTTAGAAAATTGGCAACCCCACCAAAAAAGAAAAATTGAAAGTTTATTGCACATTCAAATACCATTTACTTTCACGTGGTACCTCATTTAAACCCGTTTATTTGACATTTCACTTTCTGTAATTTACCGAACGGATCTTATACGTTTTAAGACAGGTGGAAACCCCATAGAAATTCTGAGTACTTAAGATAATACCCTATCGACACAGATAATAATAAGGAAAATCTCGTTCAAATCTCGTTCAGTAGTTTTCGAGATTAGCGTTGTCAAAAAATGTCGACTTCGCTTAATACTATGTCAGGATAAAAGAGTAACGTTTAAATAGGTGGCTAACCTACTCAAAAAAGAAATTTTTTTGTACATGCGAATGTCATGCCCTTTCAGTTGGTATCTCATTTTGTTATCAAAATACGGTGAAGGTCTTATAATTTTTAGCCAGGTGGCAACCTTATTCAAAAAAAGGAACAGTCCAGCGCCTTCGTCTTGGTCTGCTGGCTGCATCGGAGATACAGCCGCTAAGTTTAAACGTAGAATACGTGGTATGGTTAAGAGCATATCAAAGTCAAAAACTAAAGCGATATCGATAAGATAAGAAAAAAATATAACGATAACAAAAGCGATAACAATATCGATAGCAAATTCGATAAAAACATCGATGAAAATATCGATACCAAAATCGATAACAATATCGATAGCAAAATCGATAACAAAATCGATAAAAATATCGATAACAAAATCGATAAAAAAATCGATAACAAAATCGATAAGTAAATCGTTACCAAATCGATAACAAAATCAATCAAAAAATCAATTATAAGATCGATAACAAACTGGATAACAAAATCGATTACAAAATCAATAACAAAATCGAAAACAAGGTCGATAAAAACATCATACATACATACATGCATACATGTGTTCATACATATATGTATGTACATATATAATATGTATAGACATATGTACATAATATAATCCACATTAACTGCAATCAACATATGTACGTATGTATGTATTTACATTGTATGTACTACATACGCTGCGATTAGGTTGTAAATATTGCGCCTTCTGTTTATTAAAAGCCGAAATATGTACTTACGCATACATACATACTTTTTGTCTCCTTCCCTCACTTCCAACACATGCACGTGTTTGCAAAATGATGACGAAGTGATTTTGTATGGGAAATCATTTATGCCCATATGTTTGAATCAAATAAACATACTTAGAAGATAGCAACCAGTACTTCCCATATACCAAACGAAAGGAAAGCTCTTGAATTTTTGATTAAAGAAAACAAAAACCAAATCATTCGAGCGGTTTTCGAGCATTTTGGTAATAAAAAAAAATCTTAAATTTTTTCAACAATTTTTTGCTTTGAAATGCTCAATATTTGTTGAATTTATATAAAATCTGTACACGAAAATATTTCTATTGCTCCAAGCAATCTATATCCCGAAAATGAAAGTTATATCTGCAAATTATAAGTTGCTGGAGCACTTTAAAGGCTCAAAAATGACCCCAAAATAAGTCAATATTTACCGTTGTTTCTAGGACAGACACCGAATCGGTTACTTACAGAAATATATCTGTCGATAGTTTCGGAATTTTATCTTTGAAATGCCATACCTTTCTTTGAAATCGCTTCATTAGTTCTCGTGCAATAAGCGTTTTCGTGAATCTTTAAAAATTACAACTACAACATTTCAGCGTTGAATGTGGAGGGCAGCTGGATGACTTTGGCTTCGTATCCTCGTCCCTACATTTCAGTTTCTTTGGAGACTTAGCTGCCTTTTGCTCGCGTACGCCGTCACAATCTGCTCCTCGATTTGGTTTGCGAACTGATAGTTTCTGGCAAATTAATTAATAATACAAAAAATCTTTGCGCATTTTCATTTGACCACTCATTATTTCGCATTTATCCATCGATTTTCTTCATCAGTAACTTAACTTTTTTGTAACAGAACAGGCTTTAGTAAAAATACAAAAATTTGGTACAGAACCTATTTTTTAAATTTTTTTTCTTTTTTTCTATTAAAGTTTGATTTTATTCATTTTTTCATTAAAAAATAAAAAAAAACTGGAAGGATTAATTAATTTGTCAGAAACTATCAGTCCTAACGGAAAGTGATGTATGTACGGTTCATGGAGAATTTCATTGGCCGTATTTTATATTAAGATTTTTTAATTGGTTCGTAAGATATACGTCATTGAAAGGAAGCAATTTTTGCTTTAAGCTGAATAACGGTAAATTGCAAATATCTCGAAAATCCATAGAAAAAAAAAATTTACTCGATTTTCGGGATCACCGCGCAATTATACATAGAACCTCAATCAAAAATGTGGAGCACACCTCCTTATTTGCATTGGATTTAAACTAGTACCTTATTTTCAGGAACTACGCATTCTAATACCGCTTGTCAGTGAAAAGTTAAGGAATCGTACAATCCTGGACTAAAGCTTAAGGAGACCATAGTCCTTATTCCTGAAGAAATGTAAGCCGTCTAACTTCTTCTTGTGAACAACACTACAATTTAAGTTCTACCACAAATTTCACTTGAATTTTTCAGAGCACTAGGCGCTGGGTATACGGCCTCAGCGCTCCGGGAGACTGCGCAGGAGATCGCCCATTAGATACGTTATCGGATATCAATGTCTTAATCGAGCGAATGGACAACATCAAGACGATTCCAACGTACAATATACATACATATGTATGAAGAGGCATACCGAAGGAGGTTTTTGGAGGGTTAAACCCCTCCTCCCAGTGTCTTCTATTTTCATGCATTTAACAAGCCGAATATACCTCACCACTTAAGATTTTGCATGTATTTACTATTTTTTCAATTCCTACAGCACCCAGGTTTTTGAAATTCAGCACGCTGATATTTTACATACGTACATATATATGTTCATTAGGTTGCATCACTCCCAATAAAAAATATACCGGTACTGTGCTTCCATTGCGATTTTAGAATCTATTATATTCAAAGACATCCACCAAAACATTTCGGAAAAATATTAAGGTTTACGTGAGCTGGACCAAGTTGAAAATACCTCCAAAAATGGAGTTTTTATAAATTCAAATAGATTCTTAAAGAATGTTTTGACAAAAAAGATTAAGATTAAAAATCTGCATAAATATATTCAAAAAAATAAACTCTTTCCAAAGGTTGGTATAAGAAAAACTGGAATAGCTGGACCAAAACTATTCCGGTTTAAACTTATAAGATATCATACAACGTTGAGTTAAGATGTTAGGTTGGGTAAGGTGGCAGCCCCGTGTAACCGGAGCTCCCTTAGACAACGTAAGATTGTAGTGTGTGATGCTACAATTTAGAACAGCCTCCTAAACTTTAACGTTAAAAGGCTCCGAGCCGATTATGTATTTACGAATACGGTTGATCTGAATGCCCTGGAGCTTCTCGAGGCTATTTAGAAAGTGAGACCCAAAGTACTTCAACCTTAGCCTCGCAAAGGTAGTGTTGAGGTGATTCTACCTCGTCCTCTTCCAGGCAATTGCGACATAAGGGGTCCGGTAGAATGTTCAGCATTACTGCGTGAATACCAATAGGACATTGACCCGTTAAACCCCCACCAGAAGTGAGAGCTGGGGCTTAGTGAGTGGGAGGAGTGCCCTCGACCGCCCCCGCTGAGCTGACATGAGGCCCATCTGTCCAGGAGTGTACCGCAAGTGATCAGTGGCACCCTCAGACGCTCTTTATCCGGTGATAACGTTTCACAGGTTCCTTCCCTGGCCAGCTCGTCAGCCACGCAGTTCCCCCCAATGTCGCTGTGACCCGGAACCCAAATAAGCCTTATGCAGAAGTATTCCGACCCGGCCGAAAGAGAGAGCAGACATTTCTTAACCAAGTTAGAGCGCACCACTTGATAGCAGCTACTTCCGCCTGGAATACACTGCAGAAGTCCGGGAGTCTGAACTTAGTGCTGATGAAAAGCTCTCGACCGAAGACCCCTCCACCAACCCTGCCGTCCAGTTTCGATCCATCTGTAAAGAAGCTCCCCACACCCCTCCTCCAGAAGTCTCGCCCGGCCCACTCATGCCTTGAGGGAAAGTGGGCAGAGAAGAAGCTCCTAGGAACCGTATCGGTGGTGCAGTAATCCGTACGATCCGGGATGAAATCGAAGTCCCCTAGAACTCCAGAGTGTCCAGTACCTAAGTTGGTAAACCAATCGGTTTCTCTGAGTCGAATAGCCGTTCGCGTCGCGACAATTCTGCCTGCAACGTCGACAGGTGCTACGATTAGCGTTACGTTCAGTGCTAATGTGGGGGCGGTCCGCAGTGCCCCACTAATACCAATTACAATTACCGTCAAACAAGAATTGGAAATGAAGCTTCAAAATACTGGCTATGTTGTTAACAAACTATTTACAG